TAGAATAAAGGTGGTAGTCTATGAATTGAAACAAAGCAAGCCCCATACATTACATATTTTTTGCTAGCTGCACGGGCTAAAAGACAGCCAGGGAATTTAACTACATGTGAAGAAATATAGAACCAAACTGATTTCATCATGTAGATGGCTGAAGTTTTTGGATAATGTGGCAAAATGTAGCTTTTATTCATTTGTTACTTTTTTGCAAGAGTATGTTACCCTTTTAGCAATTGCATAAAAGTGGCAATATTCCAAAAGAAAGTGACAAAAAAGAAGAAAAAAAAATAGCAAGGGTATAGAACACAAAAGGTTGAACAAGTTGCCTTGAATTTCTACTACTCTTTACCTGTTTTCAGTAGATACAAAATAGGCACAATTACAGGTAGTCCTTGCTTAACAACCATTCGTTTAGCGACCGTTAGTTACGACGGCACTAAAAAAAAGTGACTTACGACTGGTGCCTGAAGTTACGACTGTCACAGCACCCCCATGGTCACGTGACTGTGATCCAGGCACTTGGCAACCAGCTCACATTTATGATGTTTGCAGTGTCTTGGGGTCATGTGATCACCCTTTGTGACTTTCCCAGCTGGTTTCCGGCAAGCAAAACCAATGGGGAACTGCATGATTCACTTAATGACCACGTGATTCACTCAACAGCTGTGGTGATTTGCTTAATGACCAGCACAGCACAAAAAAGGTCATAAAATTGGGTCTGGTCGCGTGATGATTTCCTTAACAACCGGATCACTTAGTGACCTATATTCTGGTCCCAATTGTGGTCATTAAGTGAGGTCTACCTGTCTTACAATTCTAAATGCTTCTTGTCACATGCGTAATTGACAACATCCATACCTGTATGGCCACATTGTGATCTTGAAGAGCTTCCAGTTCCTTGTTTTTCTCAGTTAGTTTCTTCAATTGCTCATCTGTAGAAGGTTCAAAAGGAAGGCCATTTTTGTTTTTGCATTAAAATAAACCATTCATCAGCAACAGTATGACCAAACTTTCCCCATCACAAGGATGAAATACTCAGACCTAATATTCTTATCCATCTACGGTAGTGAAATGAGAAAGCAGCTGCCTAATAATATCAAATATGCCTCAATCACAGAAAACAAGCTGTATAATTCTCAAAAGGTTCCCTTCCATTATATGATCCCCAATGCTGGTTTGTGTAATTTTAAGCTTTTGCACCAGCTGGAAGTCACATTCTTCTTATATGTGAGACTTTACACAGGCATATTGAGGGGCATTTATTATGAATAGTTGCTTTAGTACTCAGATTTATAGTCTTCACTTTTAAAATCCTGAGCAATAAACAGCATAAGAAATGATTAGCATCATAAAAAATAGCACAATGTTCATTTTCAAAAACAAAACTTTTCAATATTTGTCTTAAATTTCATACAGATAAATGCAACTAATATTATTTTGTGACCCACTTAACAAAGTTATACTTACTAAGCTTAGTGAGTTCTTCTCGAAGATTCTGACATTCCTGTGTTTCATTAACAAGCCTCTCCTGACTCTGAGCCAGTCGTTTTTCTACTTCAAAGTATTGTTGCTCTGCAAAACACCCATTAATACACTTCAGTAGTATCCCTTGCAGGAAAATAAATAAAAATGTAACCTCTGCACCCTTCAGTCATTTTACATGCTCCACTTTCTCACTCTCCACAATGTCTTCACATCCAACTATGACATCTAAACTGTTTCACCAAATTTACCCCTCTTTCTTCCTCACAGTTGAAGTTGGCAGAAGACAAACCTTCTCTCTGTTTGTGAGAATTCAATCCTATCAACATCAACTCTGACATCATGGTCAAGGAAGTTTACACATCCAAATAAGTACAGTATGTGTAGGATTACTTCCCAAATTGATTTTGTTAAATTGCTAAGACAATCAAAGGGCCAGGAGCCTTCAGTAACTTCATATTTATATAAGCAGTACAATGGATATTGTATAATACCTAGCCACAGAGCAATCATCTGACTTGTTTGGGGTTTAGAGTTATGTATGACAACAAACCATAGTTGTAAAAATTCTGATATGGGGGAAAGCATGAATGCAGCCAATAAATCTATATGAATCTTTACATTATTTTGAGAATCTAACACTTTATAGAATGGATATTGACTTTCAAGCTAATTATTAATATTACTTATTTGTAGTTCTGGATACAGGTGTCTTTTGTCAGTTAAATGAATGTTGGTCATATACTCAAAAATATAATACAGTACCATTACATACATTATACTCAACAATGAGATGGGGAACCTGTGGCCCAGAGATGTTGCTGAATTGCAATTCCCACTTTATCCAACACTGCCAATGTTGAGGGATGCTAGAAACTGTATTTCAGCAACATCTGGAGAGCTGCAAGTCCTCCCCTGCTCTAAACAAGAAATAATGATGTGCAATGTTGCTGGGAATGTGTGAAAGTTCTTTTTTTTTTTTTTCAGAAGCTGAACTTACACAAAGGAACCATATCTATCCAATGAATCTAATCTTCAGCATGGATTACCCTGGATCCAATCCAGTTCCTTTTTTTTAACAAATCAATCTTATTTTTAAAATACTACATATGTTTTGAGCTAGTGAAAGGTGTTTAACTAGATATCACACAATTTCTTTGACATTTCAGGAACTCCATTCACAAGAAACAGAATACTTATTATAGATTGGGTTTCTCTTTTTTTTGAATCTTTCAATCTTTCAATCACCTTATCATCAATGTAAAAAAAAGGGGGGGGAGGGGACAGTAGAGAAAATGGCAACTACAGCAACACAGAACAGCAATGTTCCCTCTCTCTCTCTCTCTCTTTTTAAGGTAGTAAGTTGCTTCATAGGATGACACACACAGGTTGTTTCTCACACACTCTGAAAATTGAAATGGATGGAAGTATTAAGTAGATGGGGCAACGTCCCATCTACTCAGAAACAAGTGTTAGTAAATTTAATGGTTCTTGTTATGACTAAGTGTGCACAAGACTGCAGCCACACTGGTTCAAACCTGGCATAATAAGATCCCCCAAAGTGACAACGTTCGAACTCAGCATTTATGTCTACTGTTAAAAACTGAAGGTTGGCTCAAGTAGCCCTTAGTCCCATGCAGTAAGGCAATACTATTTCTTACATATAAATGTATCTGACTACAATCACCATCCCTGCAGCCAGCACAGCCAATGGGGATGGGAATTTCAATGCAATACAAACAGAGAACAGCAAGCCGGTGTTTCCCTTTAGCTTCATTCCTTTGTAGAAATGACCAGAGCATTAGATTAAAGGATGCCAGGCTGAATCCATCCAACCCTCCCAAATTCTCCCTCTGCCCCTTTTCTGACGTTTGCGCAGGAAAGAAGGAGCGCCCGCGCCCGCCGCATCCGACCCGGGTATTCACGATCCAGCTTTCTCTTCTGCACAGCGGCCAGCCCACTGGCCCCACTCACCGCTATCCACCTTGTAGCGCTCGTGCCTAGTGCGAAGCCCGTCGATCTCGCTCTGCTGATCGGCGAGGAATCGCTCCAACTTGCCCTGCACGGCTTTGGGCAGCTTGGCCAATTCGGCGCGCTCCAAGACCTGCTGAAGAACCGCCGCCATCTTGGTCAGCCTGCGGAAAACCCCCCCAGCGCCCCCCCGGCTTTCCGATTCTTCACCCCGGAAAGGACAGAGCAGGAAGATAGGAAAGCGCGTCACACGACCAAAGGGCGCACGCGCGACGTGAGGTTGGCGCACGCGCAAAGCGCAGTAGTACCTAGAGAGAAGTTCTTTGGATTTCTACTGGGGAACCGATGAAGAGATCAGCTGCTGGGAGCCTAGGACGTCCCTGCTTCGGTTTAGGGAGCGTGGATTAGCTTGCGCAGATTCATAAGCTTGGAAATGTGAAAGGGGTCCTACGTTGGCTACTATCTGCAAAATGACTAGATTGCGGGCTGTCAGCATTTAAACGATGGACATGTACGAGACCTAGTTTCCGTGATTGCTTAATTGGTTATGTGCCATCAAGTTGTTTTCGACTCCTAGCGATTACATACATAGGTTTTCTCCATGATGATCTATTCCTAGCCTGTTATTTTAAGTCTCTCAACGGTGCACTCATCGCCACTGTAACTGAGTCTAGCCACCTTGCTGCCGGTCGTCTTCTCTTTCCTTTATCCATGTCTCCGTGATTTCCCCCTTCCCCCCCCCCCCAGCTCAAAACAGCGACTAGGGCTACTGTCTCGGAGTTGCCAAAATCTGGAACCCCACTAGATGGCAGCCACGTTATAGAGAAAAGTCAGTGCTTGGAAGCCACAGACAGTGGTGTATTACTTCTTGTTCCTACCTAACAAAACACTGAACTGCGTTGTAGTCCTACCATTATGAAAACCTTAATGCACAAAATCAGCAACATGGAAATAATGACCGTTCAATACGTTTGTACCACTGTTTTAAAATTACTTACTATATTATTTAGATGCACTTTTTTTTTTCACTGACGGTAAGGATGGTTTTTTAAAAATTGAATGCATACTGTAGGGTAGAGAATTACAACTCAGCAAAACTCTTATTGCTTTCAGTGAACAAACAATCTCTCTGATTTTTATTTATTTGATTTATTAAGCTGCCGCCTTCTTCTTTTTGGCAGAATGGCATCAAGAATGATAGGAAGTTTGGCACATAAAAAAATAAATGGTGGTCTATAACTGTTTAAACCAGTGTTTCTCAACCTCAGCAACTGTAAGATGTATGGACTTCAACTCCCAGAAACCTCTAGCAAGGCATGGTTTTAACTAAAGCACAGTTGACGAGCTACTGTATGTAAACAGTTTTCCTATCCTGTTGAAGGAAATGCCTAACGTGCCGCCGGAAACACAGCAGCCCTTCTGACGCGTTGCGTGCGCCATCTTTGAGTGTGGCGGAACTTATTTGGAAGAGAAGGTTTCGTTTGCTTATATAAATTGAAAAGGGCAAATGAGAAGGAGAAAGCTGCCATTTCAGTGCTTTATGTTATAAGAGACAAAAAATAAAAATAATTAGTACAAGAAAATCTGCCTTGCTTAAAATACAGGGGTTTTTTTGTTAATTGCGTCATAGGTTGACAGCACGTGGTTACGTCATTAAAATGAGTCCTGCTGGATGAAGGAGGGCACTGGCCCCGAGAGATGACGGATCGAGGAACACATCGGTGCTTGTAAAAAGAACGGAATCTGGTAAATGGGTTGGATGGGGCTGTATAGCAAGAAAACTGCGGTGAGACGTAAATAAAGCGAAAGAGGTAATTTGGACTGCAGCTGCTGTATAGGAAATTGCATTAATCAGGCTGGAGGTGAAGAAGTTAAGTTTAAAAAAAACCATTTCCCCTTGGCCCTTTGTTGACTTTTTAACTTCTGTTCCCTTAATTTCTAGAGTTCTTGAGCCTCTTCTCCTTCTCCCTCATCATTTATTACACATTTTATGGTTGGGCAATTAAATCTTTGCAATAATGGGAAGAAGCTACTTCGTGGAGGAAGCTGTTGGGCAATATTTATCAGACCTGAGCGCTAAATCAAAAGGTCTTATTACTGGTCTTTTAGTAGGGCAGGTAAGTCTACCGCGTTTTTTCACCTAAGCTTTCTCTGTTGCAGTTTGAAGAGATTCTTCTCTGACAAGAAAACACTATGTCATCAGTTACTAATGTACATCTTTATTATTGCTGTTATTAATGTATTTCATTAATTATGTAATTTTGTACATGTTTGTTTAGATATAATTCCAACAGTGTATCTGTAAATGATTTAGCTACTGGCATGTAAAAACACAGTCCAAACTGAGATTTTCTTTCTGTACAAATTCTGAGAAAACAAATAGGGGTTGCATAGTTAGAATTTCTCTTGATTTTCCTCTTCACAATCTATTCCATTAATGTATTTTTTGGATAGAGTTTTCTTGGATTGGTTTTGATTGGTTGTTAACAGAACTGATGTTGTCAAATACCTCAAATAGTAGCTGAAGTGTTAAATTATTATTTGTGTATCTTGGAAGCACTGTGCTTAAAAGGAAACTGGTTTTAGCCATTTTTAACCATATAGTTGTCTAAGCTTGCTTTAAGTTTGATATTCCTGTACTTCTTAGTTGGAATCAAGTTTCTGATGAGGTGTATAGATGCTCCAAATGTATTCTTAGAAATGCATATAAGCTAAATGAGATCCAGTTGATGCCATTGTGTAAATAAGTACCTTTAAGTGGACTGCATGGAGTGCTTTTCTTTCTGTAAGCAACTTTATATTTTCTATTTTTTAGTGTACCCAGCAAAGAGACTATGTTTTACTGAGTATTCGAACACCTGTAAAAGAGGAGGAAAGTAACAGCAGTGCAAACCACCATTCAGACTTGTCTAATATTGATGAAGAATGGACAGCAGCACATGCCAGACAGGTAATATACATTGTCTTACTCTGTTTGCCATGGGAAAGTGCTTTCTTGTAAACCTGTCTCAGCTTCATATTGATGATTGGTTTTTAAGTTAATGCTGCTTTCTACTGTTTTTGGACATTCATTTAAACATTGAACATTCATAAACATTAAAATTATGCCGTATCAGATATAATCAAGTTGGTCTGCCATATCTCAATGGCTGAATCATCCATTTCTATTTTTTTTTTCATTTCATCTTGTCTGCCTTAATGCATATGCTTCTCATCCTGAAAAATAGTCTCAGGGTATGATGTTGGACATGTATGTTAAATAATAAATTGTTATGAATATAGCTTTGTTGCTTGCCAGGACACTAGGACACTCAACACACATTCACAAGAGGGTAAGATGTCCTGTACGTACACACAAGGCAGATGCCCCTAGTCCCTCCCTCTGGTTGAAGATAGAAAGGGTTTCAAGCAGTGATGAGCTTTGGGGCTGAGCGGACAATCTGGTGTTCTGATGTTTTGCTGGCAGCTGTGGCTGGCATCTTAAGTAGCAGAGTGAGCTGCTTTGTAGTGGAATAGAGGCTGACCAGGTTCTTATATTTGAACCTGGCAAGCTGATCAAGTTTAAGCTATAAATTACTACTTAAGCAGGTAGGATACATATTTTCATTCAATGTGTTTTTTGTTGCATTTAGCATCTAGCTGCTAGCTAGATTAAACAGGTTACTTTTTCTGAGATCAGCCTGATTAGTAACTTGGTATTGATGTTGTAAGACCTTGGAAAGCAAGGGAAGATTGCTACTGTGAATTTTTTTACTGTATTTCCCATCCCTAACAGATGTTTTTTGTTCATGTCTCATGAGTTCTGCATATACACAAGTAATAAGCATGCTGATTTTTGTTTCTGATATTATTTTAAAATCAGCAGTGTTGTATGTGACACATATTTCTCCTTGGAATATTTTGATATGGTAATGCGTTGAATAATAGAAGCAGTAGTAATAATTTATTAAACTTGTATGCTGCCAACTCTCAACGACTCTGAGTGGCTCACAACTATCAATCAAAGAAATTACAATAAAACATAATAAATAAAGAAAAAAAATGGCAAGTGTGAGGAAGTGAGGAGTCTCACTCTCCCTTGCCAAAGGCCTGGGTAAAGATCCAGGTCTTCAATGCTGTTCTAAACAACAGCATATTGGGAGCCATCTGGATCTCGGGGGGAACCTCAGTCTAGAGGGCAGCCACTGCTACAGAGAAGGCATGCTTATGGGGTCCCAATAGATAACATTGTTTAATCCAAGGAACCCAGAATGCACCAATCCTGCAGGATCAAATCGGCCAGGCAGCTGTTATGGGAAACAGGCAGTCCCTCAAATAACCAGGCCCTATGCCATGTAGGTAATAGCCAGCACCTTGAATTGCACCTGGAAGCAAACTGGCAACCAGTGCAGCTCACAAAGCAGAGATGTTACATGGACATACCAAGGAATGCCCATTACTGCTTGAGCCGCTGCATCCTGGACCAGTTGAAGCTTATGAATGGTCTTCATGGCAGCCCCATGTAGAACACGTTGCAGTAGTCAAGCCACTAGTTGACTAGGGCATGCGTGACTGTCTGAAAGGTCCTCCGATCTAGGAAAGGGCACAACTGGTACACCAGATGGAATTGTGCAAATGCCTTCTTGGCCATAGCTGACACCTGCTCTTCAAGCAGGAGCTGTGAGTCCAGGAAGACCCTCATATTATATATAAACCCTGAAAGGGGAAATGGTCCCATCCAAGGTCAGAGATGGAATGTCCCCAGATCTGGGCTGCTCAAACATCCACAGCCACTAAGTCTTGATAGGATTGAGTTGGAGATGATTCCTCCCCACCCAAACCTGGACAGCTTCCAGGCACTCAGACAGAACCTTGACAGACCCAGGATCAGGGTCAAAAGATATAATTGGATATCATCAACATACTGATGATACTGAACTCTAAACTGGTGGATGACCTCACCCAGCAATTTCATGTAGAAATTGAAAAAAAAGGGAAAAAGTAGAACTCTGCAGCACTCTACACAGGAGGGGCTTAAGGAGTGATCTCTGTGCCCTAATCAGCATCAACTGGAACCACCCCCAAGGAAAGAAAGAGAACCACCGTAAAACTGTGCCCCCATTGCCCAACCCGTGGAGCTAATTCAGAAGGATACCATGGTTGACAGTATCAAAAGCCATTGAGAGATCAAGGAGCATTAGGATGGATGTACCACCACCGTCCTGGCTCTGCCACAAGTCATCAACAAGTGTGAACAAGGCTATTTCAGCACTAAATTCCATCCTGAAACCTGACTGAAACAGGTCTAGTTAATCTGTTTCTTCCAGGGTTCTCATCAGCTGCAGACTGACCACCTTCTCAACAACCTTCCCAAAAAAGGTTGTTGGTCCATAGCTGTCAAAAACCATTGGGTCCAAGGATGGCCTCTTAAGGAGGGAGTGCACCCTGCACATCAGCCTGGACCCGTAGTAGTAATAATAATAATAATAAAATATGTTTTCATTTGATTTCCTTAGGTATCAAGAATGCTTCCTGGAGGACTGTTAGTTCTTGGTGTTTTTATCATTTCAGTTCCAGAGCTGGCAAAAGAAGTCCAAAATACCCTGAGGAAGGTAAATAATTAAAAAAATGTTTTTTTTTTTCTTATTTCACTGTTAGGAACATTTGTTTTACGTTTTTACACTTACTATAGGTTGTTAACATTTGTTTTCTACTATGTAAGTTGCCAAGATTGAATAGATTGCCATAGGGTACAAATAGATAGATAGATAGATAGATAGATAGATAGATAGATAGATAGATAGATAGATAGGAAAAATGCTCCCGTAAAGGAAAGCCAAAGAATTTGGAGATAGAAACAACAAAGTACAGTATACTTTATTGGATACTTATAGTAGGTCAGTAGGCTCCCTGCCAGCAGATTGCTGGAGAGAGCCCCGAGCAAGCCCACTCTTCACATTACATATGTACAGTACTATCAATAGCATTTGAAACAGATAACAGAAAGATAGAAGGAATAATACAGTTACCCAACACCCTTTCCTCGGGAAGGCTTTGATAAACTGTTCGATCGATCTTACTGTTACTTTTCATGCTTGTAGTATCCTTCCTGATAATATCAACATGTACCATAAACATCAGTGTTTACACTGGAATCTCCTGTTACCTAATCCTAGGCGCTCAAGGACAAGCGTCTGGGTTATGTTAGCTGTCTCCATTCCAGGGCCACTGCACCAGGTATTAGGTTACACATTTATACTGTTGCTACTAAGCAACACAAAGAGCTGTACTAAACAAAAGGCCTGAATAACGCAACTTAATATGCTCTATACTACCTAGGTAGGTAGGTACTGTAGATAATGGTACCTAAGAATCAGTCTTAACTCTATTCTTGTCCTGCCTTCTCCAAGCTTCTTTTTTCAGTAGAAAAGTCTGTAGCTAGAAAGAGGTTGTGGAACATCTCCGAGGAAGATGTATCGGATAGAGTGGCACTTCATCTTTGTTCTACTACAAAGAAGTATCCTTTTTCCATCAGTCTTCAGATGAATATTTATGAAATATAGAACTATCTTTGCTTTTTCTAAATTGCAGTTGAGAATTCAGGCTGTAGCTCTCTGCACACTTGTACTAAACACAATTCAAATAACTTCTGAATAAACCGTTTTACAGGTTTAGCCTGTTTTGTAGCTAGCTCTGCCCTGAGTATGATCTCAGTTAGTAAAAAGAAAATCAAACTTAAACAGCCTGTTTTTTTTTTTAATGTAGTTAATTAGTATATTGATGGGTTATGTCCACATCTATGGGAATGGTTTTCTATATAAGATTGGTTCTACCCTTTCATGTTGTGCTGCCCAGAGGATTGGAAGAGTTTTCAGAACAAATTTGGGCTGAAGATGTAGCAGAAAATGTTTGTGTGGATGGGGAAATGAAATATGTTGGGGGTCAGAGACTATTATATTAGTAAGTAGATACCACTGGATGCAATAATATAGATTTAATGGATGCTCAAAATGTGGAGTATAATGTACAATAAGATGTTTTGGTAGTATGCTTAGTGAGTTCCTTCACTTTTTCCTCATTTATTAATATTTCTCCATAGAGCTTTACTGGATTAGAGAATCTGAGTATTTAGACATATCAGAATTCCATTCTGATCCCATCTTTAGTCATTATTTATTTAATGCTACAATTTATATGCTGTTCCATTTCTGAAGCCTCTGAGCAGCTTGCAGTATGAATATAGTAAGATTTGTTTTTTTTAAAAATCATCTAATAAAACTGTAATTAATCTGATGGGCCACCATTCAGGGGTAGCATCCCCAAAGGCCTTTCTCAAGAGCCATATTTTTACATTATTTTTCCTGAACCTATTTAAATAATTGTACAGAGACAGCCACATATCCTTATTTGGTTAATCTTACACTGAAGTATTAAATATATGGTGATTCTGCTACTGTTGTAACACATTGCCATAACTGAGAACATGGGCATATCATAAAAGAACAGTATCCAAATTCTAAACCAGTGGTGAGGACCCATTGCCCTTCATATATTGCTGTCTCCAACTCCATTGGTACTGTGTTTGTGATTCAGTTACATCTGTAACACCATGTTTTCTATTACTATTCTAGGGTGTGATTTGCCTTAATATATACAGTGTAAGAGATTTACCCTCTGGCAATAAGTCAGTGTTGTCCAAACTTGGCCACTTTAAGATGAGTGGACTTCAACTCCCAGAATTCTGGGAG